ACCACCCCCCCCCCCCCCCCCCAAAAAAAGAAAAAAGAAAAAAGGGCAATGTATCTGAATCATTGGAATAGCATAGCTAATCTGGATAATGGCTCGTCGGCATCCTCAAGAAAATTAACCAGGAGCTGTGCTCTCTTAAATACAAGTAAAGCTTCAGCCACATAATGTTGTTGAAAGTAAATTAAGATACCATAAGAAGTCAATAACCAGCGAACAGAGAGTTAATTACTATACTATAAAAAGCATTCCTTCTATGAGAACTTCGATGCAGGGCATAACTATGGTACGTCTTCTATAGTTCTATGTAATGGGGTAGAAATATTTACAATCTGCAGGATTGGACTCTGGTAAGAAAGACGTGAACGTTTGTGAACAAACACTAGCATCTCAAATATTGGGTTGAGAAGTTGCTTTAATCTGCAGGAATTCAAATGAAAGGATCACTTCATCTTTAACTCTCTCACCCCACGTAGATGAAGCAGCACCATCTTTAAGAAGTCTAGAGGCATGTCAACAATCTGTTCATGTGCATAAAGACATGATGTAAACATAGATTGCCAAGCATATTGCGTTTAAGAGCATCAACAGAAGATTAGATGTATATACCAACCATTACAATCTGGGAATTGATCAACCAGCTGTATGCCCTACTAACTCAGTTGCAAATCCACCCCACATTCGTGGCATCCCAATCAAATCCTGTAATTCAAGGTAGAGCTTTGAGTCATTGACATCTACCTCCTCATCAACCAAATCCTCAATCACTGAACCATCATCCAGTAGCTTCTCTGACATTAGATTATAAGCAGAGGACATATCTTGAGTACTCGTTTCGCACATTATATTTGCATTATGATCTTGAAGTATCGGACTGCAAAACCCATCACTCATTGGAGCTGGAAATACTTTCAACATTTGGCTGGTCTCCACATCCTCAGTTAAAATCTCAGTAATTTCGGTCTGCATTGTGGCCAGTTGTTCCTGAGCATGGATTTTAAAATGGACGCTTTGGTTGGTATCCACGGCAGCAGGAAAGCTTTCAGGAAGATGGGTTTGAAGCAGTCGTCTTTTCTTGCGAAATTCAATCCCATCTAGCTTCCCTCTTTGCTTTCTCTTCTGGATTAGTTGTTGGATAAAGCCAGGATTTCTGGCAGCTTTGGTAAAGAAAATAAACATCTGCAATTGTTTGCACTCTGCAGCTTGAATGCGTTCTTCAACAGCACTCAGCTGAGTTTGCGACTCCTGCTGCTGCTGTCTAATTTTCAAGATTTCCAACCTTAAAACATCCTGATCATCCTTCAGGTTTTCAAGTTCAGCTTCCAAACGAGGTTTTGTTGAATCATTAACGCCAGTAACTGCTCCGCTCTGCTGTTTGTTATACCTGCTTCTTCTCTTGATGGTCTTTAGCAAATGCTTCTTGGCACCGTGAAACCCTTCATTCGCAAACTCCCATCTATCCGGATCAATCTTTCTAAAGCCCTGTCAACATTTTTGTACGAATACATACACACACAATATGAAATAAATTAAATTCACAACCATAACGTTTAAAAAAAGAAAGAAGAAAAAACAGCATCATTAGGTCCATTGATGTAGGGGGACACAAAAATATTATGAAAAACAACAACAGTACTAGGCAGATAAACAATTGGTGTATTAATTAGCATGAAAAAAGAAACTAAAATGAATTAACTCACGTAGGTATTTAGCTGGCGAATGAAGCTGGAGAAATTATTGTGCTTGAAATACTTTGGAAGCAGAATTTTAGAGAATTCATGAGAGTCCCAAACAACAAAACTATCGCGATTCTTGCCCCACGACACTGTTTCATCTGTTTCCGGATCCTCCACCATCTCAAATGTCTTCTTCAGAAACGGAGGTGGACCTGCCTCATGTAAACCCTCCATGGGTTTAGGTAAATCCACAGAGGAACACGAAGACGACGATATCCCATTGTTATTTTTATTATTACCGCCACCGCCTCCTCCCTTCAACTCATTGAGACTATCTACACCATCATCATCTTCTTCTTTGACAGTGACTGCTGTTGCTTTGATTCTTTTCTCCTCCTCTACCTCCAGCACTGCTGCGGCTTTCCGCATTTCTCTTGCATTCATTGATGATGATGATGGAGATGATGGCCCGCCGCCTCCACCGCAACAAGCGGTGTCGTGTAAAGGGGGCATATTAGTCTCTTGACCCGCTTTATGATCTTTCTCCGATTTTATTGCATTTGTCAATGGATGATCATCATCCAAAATGAGCTTTGGTAACATAGCTGTTGCAGAAAATGATGCCGAAGGAACACCGGCAAGAGCGTAGCCGAAAAAATCGCCAGCGTCTGGAAACACCATTTTCAAGGACTCGGTGGAGCTTGGAGAAAGACCGTACTTATAAATGCAACGGGTGTGTGTGACAGTGAGGTGGCACTGTGTCCATTCAAGGATAGAAGTAGAGGACACGTGCCACCTTTACCTTTATTTTTTGAATTATGTCTTTTATTTTTAACAATTTATTTCCCAAATAAATTTTTAAGACTGGTTTCAAGAATTTTAACGACTACATCTAAAATACAACAAGAGTTTATCATTAAGTTTTTAAAAAAATTAAATTAATATTTTTTAATGTTTCTTTATTGTTTAATATACTGATATAAAAATAATAATAATATTTTAATACTTTTTTAAAAATATTTTAAAAAATAATAATTATATAACAGCGACAAAACACAATGTGTGCATGCCATTTCGTTTTCAGTCATTTGGAATCACACTTCCTTTTTCATGCTACCGACAGTCACAGGCACTCGCCACCGTCACCGGAAAATAGAAAGAAAACCTCATTTCTTAATTTAGTCTCCAAAGAATTAGATTTCTTCAATTAAGTCCCACTTCTAGCTCTAAAAACAGTGATTGGAGTTACATTTCTTAACCGTCCGATTACCTCGTGCTAAATCTCAAAGGCCACGATCACTCGGCTAAGCGGTTACTTATTGCATGAGCTCCACTTGTCAAGTCAAAAACCTCAGATGTGTCAGGTGAAATGTGTTGAATGCCTGCACTGTCTTTGCGGTTCACGAAACGACAAAACCGAGATGCCGTTTTGGTAACAGGAGGAGGTGGAGGGATAATTTTCTGCGACCGTACAAGTGGAGCTTGTTAGCAAAGAAAGGACATTGAGGGTTGGGCTTTATACAGGGAGATGACGCGGAAAGATCATGGGCTCAGGATTTATTATTTGAATCAAATTTATGTAGGGTTTGTCTTGTATCGAGCTTGCGTTTTTTAAAAAAAAAAGAAAAGAAAAGAAAAAAAAGTATTTGTAAATTAGTTGTGCACTAGCTGTGACCTGTTTCGTGGGGTATCTTTTAAAAAGAAAAAAACAAAAATTGATGTTAGTTGTCGAGAAGGATTAAATAAAAAAACAAAAAAAATAATTAAGATTTCCTTAAAAGATAAAAAAATAAAAGAGGAATAAATTATTTATTTCAAGTCTTAACGTATTAAATATGAAAGGATAAAATTTAGTAAAAAATGATAAAATAAGCTCGATTCAACTAGAATTAACATGACAAACCAATAATTCAGGTAATAAGAATCGAGCAAACTCAGATTAAGCCATCAAACTCGTTGCACTTACCATGAGATTAAGATAACCGATATAAAAAAATAAAAATAAAATCATAAAACTCGTTTAAAAAAAATGTTGAATGATCAAAGCTAAAAATAAAATATGTGAAAAAATCAAATGTGAAATATTTAGAAAAAATCATGACTTTAGTCATAAGACTAAAAAAACTATATTTGAAAAAATCATAAAGTTTTTCAAACCAATTAAATATTGAAGGATGTAACATGCTACATGAAGTATTCTTTGTAAATGTTATGGACTGTTTGCATAAAACATGTTAGAAACTGTTAGGATTTTGTAAATAAATATTATTGATTATTATCATGCTATATAACAATGTTTCAAATGTGCTTATAGATACACTTTAATTGATATGATTGGCTTTAATTAGTGAAGAATTATTTGCATTGATGAAGATGAATTTGTTTAAAGTATTAAATTATTCACATTAGATTAATATTTAGTTAAGTTGATCTTATAGGTTATAGCTTGATTATTTCTGTAATTATCTAACTTGTTTAAATAAATTATATAAGTTCATATAAGATTTATCAAAAAAAATAATAAATACAAGTTATCTGAAAATATCTATCAAACAAGTATTTTTGTGAAACATGATAACAGTCTATTAAGGATGTAATAGACCAGAAAGTTTAAAAATAATCTTTATGACAAGGATATGTATATAAAGAAAGACAATCAAAAGCTTTTAAAAGAGAACAATAGAACATCACTTGCAATGAAGCAAAAGAGCTCAATCAACTAAGAAGTTACACAAAATTTCACAGTATATATTCTTGACACACAAATCAAGTGTGAAGAAAATTCTCAAGGAAATTGCTCGTTGAAAAGTTGGAGAGCTTCATGACTCTGAGAGGAGTTTCTATTTTAATTGTTAGCAACTAAATGTTTAAATTAAAACAATAATAGTTTAAAGATGGTCAAGTATTCTAACAAACTATTACAGTAAAGGATAAAATAGATGTCTATCTTAACAAGTAAAGTAATATCGATATAAAATATATGTAGATGAAAATACTCTTTTTGTAATCTTCTAAACTAGTAAAGACCGTCTATCCTAAGCATGGTTGTTTAGGAGGGTTTCTTATCTTTTAAACCTTTTCAAAAGGTTTTCCCTTCGTAACCAAATAATTTGTTAATTTAAGTTGTTTGTACTTATATTTATTTGGTTATTGATTGGTGTTTTAGTAGTGTTAACAAATAACCTTTTAACATATAAGGACGAGAAACAAGATAGTTAAAGGTGAATCTTTATCTGATCATATTAAAGCATTATACAATTTGTATTAAAAATATAAGACATAACATTTTATTTATAGAAAAATCTATTAACCTTATAAATTACAAAATATCACTTTTCCCATTGAAAATTACCACATATATTATTTTAGAATAATTTTTAGAAATTTATTTAATCAAGTCTTTATTTGATTTTTATAAGTCTATAACTGTAATTTCCTATATTAATTGCATTCTACTTCTTAATTTCTAAAAAAAAAATTGCAATTAAATAATACTTAATTAATTATCTCAGTTTTTTTTTTAATCAATGGTTCTTATATTATGTGATTCATTAGGCTCCCTAATATATTGATTTAAATATAAATTACAATCCTAAATAAAAATAAAATAAAATAATTTAATTTATTATCAATTCAATAATTTTTTTATATTTAGATAAAAAATAAATTTAAGAAAAAATCATTAAATCCAGTTGAGTCAATGACTCAAGTCATGGGTGTAACGAGTTAATCTATAAAGTCCAGGTTGATATAATATTTTATTGTCTAAATATTTTTCTAAAAAAAAAATGTCAAATTGATAATTTTTTAAGCATTTGGTTTATTTTGACTTTGTCTTTATGGTGCTTTTTTTTTATTAATTTGTGATAATTCTATTTTTGCAAGATTGTCATAATCTTTTGATTCGGGTTGTAGTTATAGCAAGTTAACATGAGTTGATCCGAACCGCATCAGTATGTCACCATGTCAATATTTGTTTTTTTAAGTCATTTTGTAATTTTTTTCTTCTAGTCTCACCCTTTAGCTTTTTTAAAATAAAAAGAATTATCCTATTTTTACCCTATAATTAGGTAAGAAATAAATTAAAAGGCAAAAAAATTAAACTTGTTGGATTCCATGACCCTAATCATAAGCTTGGCGGGTTAGGTCCTGAAGCTCAGGTCGATTAAATATAGTGTCGTCTCATAAAAAAGTCAAAAGATATCACACTGATTTTTTTTTTAAGCATTTGGTGTATTTTAAATTGGTCTTCATGATATATTTTATTTTGACTTATATAGGATTAATTGGTTTCAATTAGTTTTTATATGGTTTTTATGTTATCATATTGATTTTTTTTTAAATCTAAACTATGTTATTATCAGTCATCAAATTTTCCTGATTTAATAACACTACAAGAAAAAAATCTCACAATCTTGATATGTTTTATGTAAGCGCGTGTGTGTATGTGGGGTGTGTATGAAGGGGAATGCAATGATTTAAAGTGAGATCTTAAAACTCGGGTTTCCATTATTAAAGCTGATATGGTGTCTTATCAAGGACAATATATTGATAATTTTTTTAGTTATTACACTAAAAAGAAAGTGTTTATTATCTCTAAAAAAAGACAAAAACGATAGAAATAGAAGAGACATGTTTTTATGCATCTCTTATTCTAAAAGCACAAACATTCTTTTCAAAACTATCATAAAAACATATTTATTTTATCTCTTCTTTTGTTTCTCCAACTAAACATGTTTATACACGCGCACACACACACCTAAACACAACCAAAGATAGTATAAGACACTTTCATTCTTGTTCTTGTTAGTGTACATGCCATATAACTAATTGGTTAGTTACATATGGTATTGACTTTGTTCGTATAAATATATTTAGTTTATTTAATAGTGTAGCTTATTTTTTAGAATATATTAAATAGTTAACAATTAAGGAAATTATGTGGCTATCTCTTTCGCAAAAAAGCCTTATTTATCATTAACATTTATTGAATATTTGATTAATGAATTTATAATAAAAATAAGTCCTTGAGAAAAAAAAATATTTTGCAAAAGAAATTATAAAGTTATTATAATCATGGAATCTCTATTACATCAAAGCATTGTTTCTAAAATGTTCATGGCTAATGTTTTATTAAGACTGGATATTAATTAGAGTTGTTGAAAATAATATATGTTATGTTCTTTCCCTTATGAAAGGAAGTGATTATTCTTATAAGTTAAGATATGAAGGATACCTAGAACTAATATGTGGATATTTATCAGATAACATGTACACTAAAATGACTTGTATGAGAATTCTATATGGAGAGATCACTTGTGTATATAAAAAGCCTCACGTGACGGTTGTGTAAACGATTATTATACTTGAAATCATAATGTTATCTTATATAAGGAGTGCTATGTTTTGATTTTACTATTCGTTATCCTAATTAACGATAACAAATAGGCAAATATTGAGTGTAACATGAACTATATGGATGTATTTAAGTAATCAAAAGAAAATTCATCACCCCAGATGAATTAGAAAAAATATTTCATCTATTCTCAAATAGTATTGATTGTGTTGCACGAGGTGGAATGAGATTTGAAAATAGTTTCTAATCATATTCAAATAATCAATAGCTATGGTGTTGAGAACAAGCATGACTTGACAAAGTAGATATACTTTATGTTGTAATATTTAAATCAAAATATTATTGATAAAGAGATAATAATTACACTAAGAAACTGGTAACTGAAAAATTAAATCAAACCACTTATAATTTTTTTAATATCTATAAGATCATGATAAGCTAAATCAATTATTAAATTGTTAACAAATTAATTAATTTTACACATAAACATGTTTGCATTTTTCTTTTGGTTTGATAAGAAAGTTAAATGCATCTTAGAGCACCTACACAATAGGCATATCACTTTCATATCTCCAAATTTATCTCAATTTTTTCTTCTCAAATTTTTAATTTTTGGACTGAGCCAACATAAGCATGCTAATATGCTTAGACTAAGTTATAACAAGTTTCAATTAGCATTAACTAAACCTATCTGAAGCCAAGCAATGGCTTTGCTCCTTTTAATCATCTTCCTGCATGCATGCAAGCTCAAATAACTTATCGGTGCATATCTTCCTCACGCGTATGATCATTACCACTCTCTGCATTCCTTTCAAAGCTAGTCCAACATAATGATGGAGTTCCAACTTCATTTGAGCGGTGAGAACTTGCTGCAGATTTGAAATGAGTGAAGGAGGAAAGCAGTTGTTCATCACTGGAGTTCTCATTCTTTTTCTTCGCTTTTTTCAGACTTTTATCACAGAATTTGGAAAGAGTTTCAAAGACCGCTAACAACATAGATGTTATATATTATATTTCCTGGGTTGGGTTCCAGACATGTTACTGTTCAATGACATCAATTAACTCACATTTTCACAAGCTCCTGTCCTCCATACATAACCCAGGGTGCTGCAAAAAAAGCGATGCCAGCCGGAGAATCCATATTGCCTTCCAAGTCATTGGAATGTGTGCTTCCAAAAATACGTAACAAAAGTAAGGAACAAGCTGAAATCGTTTGCCTCATAGACTTTAAAAATGCAGCCATCAATATGCACCTACGTCACAAACTTACCAGCAGTCGGCCTCTTTCCAGTCAACAGAATAGCTGCTGAATAGGGAAGAGCAGTGACAACTAGGAGACGTGCAAACTGCACCTCCTAACTAGTACTGAAAAAATTTGGATGAAGAATAACAGTTAAATTGCCAATAAATGATTAGAGTATGGCCTTCGCTTCTTGTTCGACAGCCAAATGCTTTTGAATTACCTCCAGTTCCCAGTCTAAAGATATGTTATGTTCCCAGTGATATCTAGTTGGCAATAACAGGTTAATGCTTTGTTTCACCACCAATACCAGATAAAAAATCCAAAACTTTTGATGCCTTTTCTGAGTCAATCTGTAAACCTCTAGGTGTAGTACTATCCCTGCTTTCCTTGCTGACCATGCTACTGACAGCAAAAGCACCACCGGTGGAGTGATTCATCTTCATTAGAGATTCAACCTTTGTAGCAAATGCTAGTGTTGACATTAGTGCCTTCTGTGCAGATATTGGTTTGTTTTTCAAACATGCATGTGCCAACTGATCAGAAGATTGACCTGAACCAAGTGGTGAAGCTGGCAGCCTTCCCTGGAGTGCACTCAACTCTATATGTTTATTGGATGCAATTTTACTTTCTTGAACAGATGCATGAACACCACTACCAGAACTTAAAGGCAAGCTAACCTGCTGGTTTCTCCTAAAACTATCTGTTGAGGCATCTTGAAATGCTGTTGGTTCAGTTTTCTGCAGCATCTTACTCAACCCATGCGCCATATTTGACACACTTCGGTGTGTCTCTTTGCCAATTAGGACACTATTATCCTTATTTGAAGATGAGCAAGCTTCTTCGTGCATGGAGAAATTTTTGGATGAAAATAAGTTGACACCATTTCCCTGATTAGTAGCCAAGCTTTTTAATTTCATAGCACTTGAACATTTATCCAATGGAGCTTTGCCAAATGAAAGGAAATTTATCCCCTTTGGTGCAACAACCGAAGGAATTTTCTTGGGAATCTCATTGCAGTTTTGAATTGTGACAGATGCACATTGATCTATCTGGTTTCCAACTTTGACAAACACGTTACTCTTCAGAGATGAGCTGCTTGTTTTAGGACTAGATTCAACCATTGACTTCTTCCCACCAGAAAGAAAGCTTATACCTTTGGGCACCAGTGCAGGCAAATTCTGTACAGTCTTTGCCACATTTAGTGCAGTACGTCTATCATCAGAAATAACTCCTGTGGAATCCGGCGAGGCTTTGGCAGTCTGGTTGGAAGTTCCACTAATATCCAGTTGCCTCCTAGAATTTGAAGTGCTCGGCAAAGATGGAGGCTTCACCTTAGGAGTGCAAACATTTGAAATATTTGATGTAGATGAAAGGTCTTCCTGAAGTGGAAACCGAATCAATGATAGTCATTAGAAGCTAAACACAACAAGAGTAACAACTGAGGTTCTGCGTGTGCTAAAACAGAAAAAGTGGCTGAAAAGGAATAGTATTTAGCAAGGGCAAGAAGGTACCTTGTGTGAAAACATACAACTCTCACCCCTGATACAATAACCTTTTGACACATAGTTTGTACAAGGATACTTGGAGAGCTGATGATCATATGGACAATTGTCACCTTTCATGCATTTGTGACGCGCAAAATGATGGCATGGCTGCAAAACCAGAACGCAAGACAAGACATGCTTAGCTAATAGAAATTGGCAGCAACAACAACCACCTTACCAAATCAATTAATAAAAAATATAGCTAATTAAATTAAGACTATGATTTCACAACAGGTGGCTAGATAGGAGAAAATGAATTGCTGGCCAGATAATTTGTGAGTGCTTCCTTTGAAGCATGCTTTTCCAGAATGAATCTCAATTACTTGCTACTTTTTCTCTCTTTTCTATGGCAGTCAAGATAAAATGTGTCTTGTTCTTAACTGTGGCAAAATCTGACGAACACGTGTGAGACCTGTGTAGGCTGCAAAAGCATCCCACACCCAAACTTCTCTTGGCCAAGGTGGTGTTGGGTTTTTGGGGCTTTCAGTCCCAAATGCCAACTTCAGCTTGAAAGCCAAGCACAAACTTACACAGGTTGGAAAGTCTAAGCAGTATATTCATTTCTTAAATCCGAGATGAAGAGAAAAAACAGTATATGAGTTCTAGCTTTGACATGAGATGTAACCGAGGTGTTGTTGGGTTTTTGGGGCTTTCAGCCCCAAATGCCAATTTCACCCTGAAAGCAAAGCACACATTTATACAGGTTGCATAGTCACAGCAGTATATTCATTTCTTAAATCCAAGATGGAGAGACAAATATCAGTATATGAGTTCTGGCTTTGACATGAGATGTGTTCAAGGCCAGTCAGAAGCAGAAATCTGTAGCCAAGCTTCAGTCCAGTTTCTGGTTGGGTGGAGGAGAACCACATCCATAGGAAGTGTGTCTCACATGTTAATGTTCATATTAATGTGGTTTTCTAAACCACTAGGCAAAAAGAGATTGGATAACTAGCCGTACAAAATAAAGTACTAATTTAAATGATTGTACCTCAGATTTTGTCAAAGGTATTGCATCATGGGAAAATTTGCATTTTTGACCCTGTCAAATAAAAAGAAATATGCTAATGACAAGTAGCAGGATATAAAACTAAAACCAGATAAAAATAGAATACAGAGCACCAAAACAACATACCACTATTGACAAAAAATACACTACCAAGTGCCACCTAAAATTGGAGACTCGGTTAGATAGTGATAGCCATTTGAATAATTCATCTTAAAATCTATTAAATTAAAGAGAAACTGAAGAAACAGGGATGTATTTCGTGTTCAGTAGAAAGACAAGAAAATAGAAAATGAAAATAAAAGCATTCCCTTTCATTTTACAACCATGAAAGATGCTCTGGCACTGGGCAGAAAAAAAATACTTGGGAAAACGTTAAACAAAAAGAGGAATTTGGAAGAACACATAATTGTTTCTGCAGGAAAAAAAATAAACTATAGACTCAAATATGCTAAACAATTATACTTGACAAAGACCAACAAGAGATCAAGATAATCACCTTCATCAAAGCTGTCTAGTTTAAAATTTATCAAAAAACAGAATATTAGACCATAAAGACCAATTTCTTATTTGATTTTTTCAGTAAATGACTAAAGCAACTTTCTCAGCACGACAAAGTTGTTGAGTCTTTGAAGCAGTTCAGAAATCAATATAAAGATATACTAGGTTATAGAATTGAGTGTAGAGAGAACACATACCTCCCGGCATCTCCCCTTGAGAAAATGACGGCAGGGCGATACAGGTTTTCGATTCAGCACAGGAAGTAACTTCATCCTTTTAACACCAAGTTGTCTGTTCTTTTCAGCCCGTTTTTTCCGTTCTTTTTCCTGCAAGATAACATTAAATGATGAGTGAAAATTGTTTATTTTAGGGACAACGGAGTTACACTTTAGTAAAGATAAAGTTTTCAGATGGAGGAATACAAAGTTGACTGGGAAAAAAAAAAACAATAATAGTTTGCTAACAGAAAAAAGAACCCGACCAAACACGAGAAAATAGAAAGGACAAATCAAAACCTTCTTCTTTGCTTTCTTTTCCTTAGAAGGAGGACCACGCTTTTTCTTATTGCATAGACCAGCATCCTGTAGAGACAACCAAAAAACATAATGGGTTAAATCCGGACAGTTATTCATTAAGAAAGCACTAGGGGTATGTATTTATGAGAGAGTACACAAAGAGGACAAGAGAAGGGAAGGAGAGCAAAGAAGTGCCAGAATTAACTTTCTGGTTTGGGTACACTATCAATAAATCAACCCTCAAATTCAAGAAATTTTTAAATCAGTTAATCTAGACATAGCTATTCCAGCGTCATGTTAACAATGCCCAAAGATATAGAGGAGGCAGAAAGCCCTGGATCCAACCACCAGCAAAGAATATGAAGAAAACCGTGTATATAATCTTTAAATGATAATCCACGCCACATATAGAGAGGAGAAACAAAATGAGGATGTTATTTTTTTAAAACCAATACTCGAAGACTCCATGCTTCACTAAAATTGACTCTGCTAATGAAATAAACAACTATAGCAGGAGGAAGCAAAAGAAAATCAGGAGAATAATTATACCTTTTCTTTAGATGCAATTCCTTGGTTTGCAGATGCAGTTTGATCTGAATTTTCTGTGAACGATGCCAGATTGTTAGGACAAACCACTGGGCAACCAACACTATCATTGGCAACATTCCTTTTCTTTTGTTCCTTAACTCTGCTGTCTCTTTTTTGGTCTTTTGCTGCACTCCCTTCATTTTGCTCCCTGAATCCATGGCATTTCTTTTGTTTCTTACACCAGACACCCTCTTCAGCTAATATAGGATCTTCATAAGTTACAACTTTCCGTTTACATGCCATTTCACTTGAGAAACGTTGTTGGGCTTCCACTTCTCTTCTATCTTTAGTATTCTCAACTGTGCACGCCATAGAAGAAGAAAACCAGGAATCCTTCTTGTTTGCTTCATTTTTTTCATTAATAGGAAGCCTATTTTTATCAATAATAGTTTCAGAAGCTTGCTTCTCATCAACTTTCTTCTCCTGTGGCGCTACAGCGTCCTCAGAAAATATATCGACTGATCCATCATCCACCTCAAACTCACCAGAAACTTCTCGCTCTTCTATCTCACCATCTTCAGGAGGATAAACCATTGTGGCATCGGCACAAACTGATTTGTCCGATTGTATCTCTTTCTGTTGCATTTCATTATTTACTTCCAATCCATTAGTCCTCGACAATGAACTTTCTTCACAATTATCAACTGGTTTTGAAACTTCACTGCTTGTTTTGTTATTTTGACATAGGGTTTTTTCATCAAGTTGTAGCTGGCCGACACCCTTGCATTCTTTGATAACAACTGGATGGCGCTCAGAATGTTCATCTTGGTTGTTTGAAACCGCAACAACATCACCAGCAGCAATCCGGTTCCGGTTAGTCACAGGGCCAGAATTGTTGTGACAAACAAGCTCCACGTTTCCTTTCATGAGATGCTCTAACTCATCAATTAGCAAATGTTGCGCCTGAATTAAATCTCTATCTTGTAAACCAGTTCCACAAACAGTATGATCAATCACCAAGTTCTCATCTTCTTCTATTCCCATTATATTCTCTACCTCATTGATCACCGCTTGCGTGTCACTAAACCCTCTTTCTTGGCCATTTTTATCCAGCAAACTTTCATGGCACAACTCCACATGCCTACTGCATACTTGGTTTCCCAACACATGCGGCCCTCCATCACCACCATTACCTTGCAGAAAAACAACAACATATAAGTTACTAACACTAGAACAAATAAACATAAATACATAAAATTGAGACTGAAATTTAAAATTAAAATACCTGATGGCGGAGGAACAAATTGACAAAGCTGAGGGTGCGATAAAATTCGAACAAGAGTGCGATAAGTTTGACTTTTGAGATGCGATTTGCGATGTGGAGAAAAGGTGAAAAGAGGAGTCTCTGCCATTGGATTGAGGAATGATGATCTCTCTAAATCACCTTCGCTTAAAAAGAAAGGAACAGAGAGTAGTACGTTTTCCGTTTTCCTTCTGGGTTTTAGTTTGGGCACGCAGGGGTGAGTTCATAGACCTTTACTAATTGAATAATCAAGAGTAAGCTAGAGGCAAAAAAACATCAAATTATATGGAAAGCTACAGGCAGTTGTTTGGCAAAGAGAATTCAAAGCGAAAACTTTGAGACTGTTATTTGATACAATGTTTGATATAGCAGCCAGCTCAAAAAATGGCAATCCAATCTTTATTTTATTGCAGAAGAAGATACTGAACTGGAGGACTTTGACACCCCCGATTAAAGCCTAAAACCCCTAAAACAAGAATGCCCTTTTCCTTGAAACTCAGTTCAAGTTCAAGAACTCAATGCAAGAAAACCTGATTCTCTCTGCACAAGCGGGCACCAAAATCTTCCTCTCACGCTGACTTCTTAAAGAAACCCACACACAAAAGACCAGTTTTGTACAAAGAAAAGAAAAGGGATTTAGGATTGTTTTGCAGAACAAAACCAAATTCAACGAAGTTGGGCACGCAGGAGCTGGCGCTTTAATACGTGACACGGACGGGCTTATGGCTGAGTGGTTTTTGCAACTATTTACGGGTTTTCTTCAGTGAAGGCGGACTTAAGGATGTTTGGGCCTCCATTTGGGTTCGAATCATCCGAGAATTTGCACTTGAACTCTGCTGAGTGATTAGTGCGGGAGTGATTAGTGCGGGTGCTCGTTAAGAGGTTTAATGGCGATACTGTTATTTGTGCTGTAGTTAGAGTTATTTTTTAAAATATTTTTTATTTAAAAATATATTAAAATATTTTTTTATTTTGAAAAATAATTTTTAATCTTAGTATATTAAAATAATCAAAAAATATTAATTTAAAGTAAATAAAAAATAAAAAAATTTAATTTTTTTCAAAAATAATTTTAAAACATAAAAATAAATAGGGTTAGTTTTTTAATAAAAAATAATATGTAGTTCCCACAAGTATATTTTAAAGAAAATATAAGTGATTCATGTTATAAACTGGACCTAGTTGCATAATTTTTTTTAATTAGATCAAAAAAATAACAAAATTAGATAAATTATTTTAAAAAATAATGATTATGATAACATAGGAGAAAAATATTTTTTCAAAGAAAGACAAATTATATAACTTAATTCACAGTTCTTTAAATATAGAAGGATGAAATAGGGTAAAAAATTACTTATAAAACTTAAACCTAGTCAACCTAAATTAGCATGACAAACTTATAACTCTAGTAATTAGGGTCGAGCCAACCTGAGTTTTACCACCAAACTCGCGAACCAGATCATAAGATTAAAATGATCTAATAGAAATAAAAAAAAATCACAAAACCTATTTTTTATATAAAAAAATCAAATTGTGTTAACTTTTCAAACCTGTAACTCAAGTCATTAGACCCGAAACACTTCATCTAGAAAAATATGAAGCTCAATTCTCACTAAATCAAATATTGAAGAATAAAATTAAATAATTTTAATTATACAAAATGATTCAGAACAAAAAATAGCAATTAAAATAGTAAGGATCAAAATTGTAATAAAAAATATTTAATTGAAAGGTGAAATTGAAAAGAAAAATGAATTTAGAAAAAAGACCTCAGAAAATCAAAAGAATGGGGACCAAATTGATAAAAATAAATATATCATAAAACAAATAAAACTTTTACAAAAAAGCTAAGAAAAAAATAGAAATAAAAAAATAAGGATCAAATTGGAAAAAATAATTTATGACCAATTAAGATTAAATGATAAAATTAAAAACATATAAAATATTTACAAAAAGGTTGAGAAAAAAATTAAAAATCAAAAGAATAAGGACTAAATTTAAAATATTAACAACAAAGAGGATTAATTTATCATTTTAGAGGAAGGAAAGAGAAAAGAAAGAAAAAAAAACTCCACCAGCAATCCAATGCTAACATGCATTGCCTAAAAAAAGATGCAGTTGTCTTTCCAACAACATGACAAAATAACATTTTTTTGTCATTGGGAGGTTCTATATGTGTTATCTGAAAGACACGAATGCCTCCTATATATTGATATATGCTAGCTATTTTATTTTATTTATTTGTGAAGCAATCTAATTCCTCCCTCCCATTTTACTTCATAAAATGAAAAAACCTTTGCGAGATGGCAAAACAAATCTCCTTAAGGCTAATTTTATTTTATTTTTTATTTTTCAATGATATTTTGGTTATTTTATTATACATTTTAATTTTTTATTATTTTATATGCCTAGTCAAATGCTAAATTACCGCTCATTTGACATGATAATTAAGTAAAAATCATTGTAAAAATACAAAAGTATCATTGGATTCTGGTTTTCATTTTTTTTCAAATAATATTTTGATTGTTTTACTATGCATTTGAAATGCAAAGGGACTTATTATTCCTGATCAATATGGTAATGACTAACAGATCTTATGAAATTATTTTAATACCTTCAATTACTAGTGTTAGATGTTTTTTATATAAGAGATAAAACTATGAAAACATTGCTCTAGTGAATAGTATTTTCACTCCTAAGGTATGATATTTTCATACCTAGTTTGACTCTTAAAGATTGTTTTTTAACATATTTCAATTATTAAATCAAATTAATAAATAAAAAACATATTTAATTTAGAAACAAAAATAAATTCATCATTTATGAAAAAGATAAAAATATTAAATCAACTTTTGTAACAAATAAATAAAATAAGTAAGTTATTTTATTTAAGACATCAAATATAATAACAATAATACTTTTATTTTTTAGACTAATCAAATATGTTATAAGTAAAAAATAATTTAAAAATGAATAGATTGGTTATGTTTATTTTTGGCTTGGAAATAATAACGAATTATATTTGATTATAAATCATAACATAAAATAAATAATTGAATAACCATAAGAGAATAATTATTTCTTTTGAAAATTTAAATAAAATAATATACAAGGACTTTTTTAAATATAAATAATTAGTTCTATTTATAATAAAACAAATTAATAAAATAATTATTTCATAGAATTAATTAAAAATTCATTTATTTTAAAAATATTTAAGAAATTAAAATTATTATTTCTATACAAGAGAAGATAAGGGTATTATAGTATTCATTATTAATAACATGATTTAGAGATAGTTCTATTGAAATCTATATCTTAAAAATTCGAGCGTCTTGAGTTAGAAAGAACGCCACTTATTGATTTTCTAAGACTTAGATTTGTAGCTTTGACGAGGTCATGTCTAGCTAATTGAAATATTGATTGAGATATTGTTGATTGTGAATGTTGACGTGAATGATAATTGGTATTTAGCACAAATCTTAAACTATTAAGTCTATTTGTTGTCATTTCTAATGTTAATGCTAGTTGATGAACTTAGAGATCATAGATTCATCCCATTATATCATAACCATAGTTTGGATCCTCGTTAGCAAGGGTAACATCTTTATCATCTAAACTTGAGATTTAAGAAAGTATTTCTTTAAGCTTTTTTCTTATATTTTGATTTTGAGATGGATGAACCAATATGTAACTGAGATTTGCTTTTGAAGATTAAAAAGTTATATTGACCTAACGATAACGATGATAATGTTGGTTATATTTGTTGAGATTAATAAAACTATAACCAAGACCAAACATCTTAAGAGTATGCTTGGTTTTTATTGAATTGAGGCCGCCATTTTTTCTTAATATGTCTTATGAGATATAGGCAGTAGCTAATTTTTTCATTTACATCATGCATTGTCACAAAGTCTTAACATAAGATTTAAAGGACCCCAAGGTACAAATGAAGTATGAAAAGGTAGTGACATATTTTAAAAGTTTTTTATATAAATAGTTCTAAAGCTTGTGAAATCTTTTGAAGAAGAATATCAACAGTGGGAGAGAACTATTGTCACCATCGGTTTGAAAACCATGTTGGAAAATACTCTAAATAATTTTCCTTAAAATAAGAAAACTAAGAATGATCATAATTTTTAGGTAAAGTGTATTGAACCATACTTATTGATAATCAAGATAAATTCCAAAAGGTTGAAAGTCTTAAGAAAATCTTTTATAAGTATAAGGACTTTTGTTCTAAACTTGATATATTAAGACATTTAAAATATTTATTTTTGAATATGTAATTCTAAAAGGACTACTTGCATCTTGATTAATTTAGTGTCAATCAAGATGAATTATAAAAATTATCTAGCCATTTGCAATATAATTTTGGAAGAACTATTTTTGAATATGTACTTTTGGAAGAACTCATTTTTAATTGGGCAAATATACATATGATAGTTTCTTGATTTATATGGGTTGACAAGTTTCTTTTGAGAAGACCTTGATGAATTGTTTAAAATCGATCTTTGTGTTGAGGTTTGTATGACTTAAATATTGTTTGAAGGTGATATAACCCAAAGATTAATGTCTTCTCCCAAATGTAGGAGTATCGAAGTAACAAATATCTCGGCAAGAGCGGGATCAAACCACAAGGAGGTTAACTATATAAATTATAAATAATAATAGTAATAATAATAATGTCTTCTCCCAAAAGATTGCTTTCATGAAAGTTTTAGACCTATGTTTTATCTTTCCAACAACAAAAATCATACATAAATCCAAGTTTTATACTCCAGTTATGATCCAATAATCAAGTGGTATTTCAATTTGGACTGAACCAATATTTTTTTTTTAAGTTTAGCCATCTTTTAAATTTTAATAGTTAAACTTATTAATTAATCCTTTTATTTATGTGATAGGCCTACATTTAAGATAAACATTTACTATAAATTAAAGGTATCTTATAATATTAGACATGATATTATAAAACAAGCTCTAGTTAAGGAGGTACTGATATTTTAAGTGCAAAATGATGATATTAACCTTGATAAAAATACAGTTTTAAGTATTAATCTCCGACAACGACGTCAAAAAACTTGACATAATTAAAAGATTGATATCTTCTTTCTAGTTTAGGAGTATTAAAGTAATAAATAACCCGACAAGATCGAAATCAAACCACAAGGAGGTTAATTATATAAATTAATAATAATAATAGTAATTGTGATGGTGATGGTGATGGTGATGGTGATGTTGATAATAAGTTAAAGATGAATTTGAGATGTAAGATTAATATGAAGATTAAATAATTATAAAAAAAAATATCAATCATAAAGGATATACTAATGGTATTTCAAACAAGTATAATATAAAATCTTTTTATTACTCAACTAAAAACCACACACAAAAGAGGTTCCAATTGAATTATAAATTGTTAACATGATTACATTAGTTATCTTATCCAAATAATGTTAATACTTGTAAATTTTATCAGGTATTCATGATTATAATTTATGTTAACAACCAATCAAGTTCCTTTCATAGTACAAGTGTCGGTTATACCATATGGTTGGGCTATAAAAGTACCAAGTATTTGTTATACCAAGGGTTATACAACATAAATCTAAATTAATCATTTAACAAGCAAAGTATTAAGAGTAAACAAAATAACAAATACAAAACATGTTAATATCAAATATTAAAGTCCATGTTGAGTTTATACTATACTTATTTTTACACCATTAGTGTACATTTTTCACCTTGACATAATATA